CCACTAACATGAACAGTATGAACATAAGCTTGTTACTTGTTTCATTGAGCCTGTTTCCTCATATGTAAAACTGGTATCATCTACCCTTCACAGGGTTGTTGCAAGGATTAAAGGAGAATTTGTATACACACTTACATGGGTGGTGACGGGGAGGGAGAGAGAGAAAATCTATATAAAAATATTCTACATATATTCTATGAATATTTTATATATATATAGAAAGAAGGAAAGACAAAGAGTAGTTTGCAGAGCGCCTGGCTGGGGATGGTATGTATTACTCTCCATTTTCCAATGAAGAAATCAAGGCACACAAAAGATGACTGATTTGACAAGGTACATACATCTCTTTAAATGTTTGAGCTGAGATTTCTTACTCTAAAGTTCATACAATGTCTGGATTAAAGTGCATGACTAATGGGACCAAATTATGGGGGACCTTTAATGCCAAATTGATTCTGAGTAAAATAATTATATTTCTACTTCAAAGAGTCTGTAAAAACAGGTCAAATAAATGAACCCTGCTCCTCTTGCTTTCTTATTATAAGCTGAATCCATGTAAATAGTACATTTAAAACTTTCTTTTTTTCTTTTAAAAGATACCACATTAAAGAACAGNATGCCAAATTGATTCTGAGTAAAATAATTATATTTCTACTTCAAAGAGTCTGTAAAAACAGTTCAAATAAATGAACCCTGCTCCTCTTGCTTTCTTATTATAAGCTGAATCCATGTAAATAGTACATTTAAAACTTTCTTTTTTTCTTTTAAAAGATACCACATTAAAGAACAGAGATAGAAGGGTGGTCTTTTGTTTTCTAGTTTAGGAGAGAAGACAAGGGTGAGAAAGAACATGAACATGGCAGGTGCATATTAGAGACAAAATTAAAATCTAAACATCCCAAGCATCTCTGGTCCAGTTTAGGTTTAGGTTTAAGAGAGTTAAATAACTCAGACACTTTGCCCATAACAGGTTCAGGTATATTCTATACTGCCTTTAGGACCCCTAGTTTTTGCCACCCAGCGTCTATCCCCTCCACCTCTCTTAGTGCACAGCCTTCCAGTGGCACCAAGCCCTCCCTCCCCTGGCTCCAGGGAGAGCATATGACTCACTCTTGCCCTTTGAACAACACAGTGAGTGCCCCAGCTTTCGTGATAGGTCACAGTCCCATCTCAGAACCATTCAGACATGCAAGGAGACTTATACGGGGTCTGTGAAGGGTAAAATTCTATTTTTTCCTGCCGGAAGGAGATGGGCTGAAGCTGCTGACAGTCATCCCACCACCTGTGGAACCTGATAACGAAGCCACCTTGGAGGAGAGCATTTGGACCTCTGGATCATAGCTGGAGCCAGAATACCCTCAGACCTTTCAGGTCCATGAGCCAATAAACTCCATTTTTGTTTTGTTTGTTTTTTCTTTCTTTTTTGCTTAGGTCAATTTGAGTTAGGTTCTGTCCCTGGTAACTAAAAGAGCCCTCGTTGATACAGTGCCTTTTGAAATGCTTATTGGAAGGGGCCTGCACTTGCTAGAAATCTCTGCTTTCTGGAAATAATGATGGAGGACAGAAACAGACAAAAACATCAGGATCTGAACTGCTGAGCAGCAAGAGTACACTGTGTATTCCTTCAGGACAAGAACTCTTATTTCTATAACCTCCCTGGCCTGACAAAGATCTTATACACATTAAGTGCTTAGGATGGGTGGATGGACAGATAGGTGGAAGGATGGAATAAAGAATTAATACAGGTCAGAGAAAGAGGTATAGAAGACGAACCCAGGGAAGTAACCGGAAATGGGTATCAAGTTATCTTTTCTGGTTATTCTCCTTTTAAACCTACCCTTACCTCCCAATCCATTCCCCACTCCTCTTCAGCCTGTCCTACACCATAGGAACCTGACCTCTCAAGAACTGCATCACCCAAGCCCCCTTGCTCTTGGAATTCCAGCAACAGAACAATGTCACCATGACTCTAATGGCCACATTCCTCTATGGCCAGAGTTCCTGTCAGGTAGCCCCTCATCCAAGGCTCTGTCTCTTGCTAGTCTTCCCTTAGCCCTTCAGGCCTAGGGGTAACGTCTCCCTCCTGTTGCTAGTCTCTGGGTGCTTTGTTATCCCTGTGGGTTCCCTTAACCTTGCTCATACTCTGCAAATTTCCCTTCATTACACTCTCTTCTGGCCGTGCCCTCTGAGTGTGCTATATGGATCCTGCTGGGACCCTGACTGATACATCTATCATGCAGAGCAAGACAGGCCATTGAAGCCAGGCAAGGAGCACAAGACAAGGTGACTGGGTCAGGGGCTGGGTGCAGTCAGGGAGCCCACAGGCACTGAAGGGCAGGGCTCCACCTGGCTCTTGTACATACTGCTGCTCAAGTGATTCTCTACAGAATTTAACTAGTCTGCGAGCTTCCTGAAGTCAGGGCCGTGTCGTCTTCATTTCAGTGTCATCAGTAAGCGTTTAAAGGTGTATGGTGACCCTCCTGGTCTAGACTCTTAAGATGACACATAGGATGCCAGCATCAAGGACACCAAGTATATCCAGACATAGTTGGCGTAAAGGTGGGAGCCAATCTAAGGACGGGGCAGGTTTGAGTCTGAAGGTGAAAAGAGGTCAATGACTTTAACATAAGGCAGTAATTAGAAGCACAGGCTCTAGAGCCACAGTTTGTGGGTTCATATCCCAGCTTTTCCACTTTCAAACCATTCTCTATGTCTATTTTCTTATCTGTAAAGTAAAGATAGTAAGAGTTCCTTCCACAAAAGGATTAAATGAATTAATTCATGTAAAGTATTTAGAATAACACAGGGCACACAAGAAGTACTCAAAAATATTAGCAACTATTATCATTAAATTTGGTTAAAAGTAAGAAAGCAACAGCTGGATCCTAACAT